TTTTGTTTGTGTTTTTGTGGGTGTTTTTTGTGTGTGTTTTTGTGTGTGTTTTTGTGTGTGTTTTTGTGGGTGTTTTTTGTGGGTGTTTTTTCGTGTGTTTTTGTGTGTGTTTTTGTGTGTGTTTTTGTGTGTGTTTTTGTGTGTGTTTTTGTGTGTGTTTTTGTGGGTGTTTTTGTGGGTGTTTTTGTGGGTGTTTTTGTGTGTGTTTTTGTGGGTGGTTTTGTGGGTGTTTTTTGTTGTTGTTTTTATGTGTGTTTTTGTGTGTGTTTTTGTGGGTGTTTTTGTGTGTGTTTTTGTGTGTGTTTTTGTGGGTGTTTTTGTGGGTGTTTTTGTGGGTGTTTTTGTGGGTGTTTTTTGTGGGTGTTTTTCGTGGGTGTTTTTGTGGGTGTTTTTTGTGGGTGTTTTTGTGGGTGTTTTTGTGGGTGTTTTTGTGGGTGTTTTTGTGGGTTTTTTTGTGGGTGTTTTTTGTGGGTGTTTTTGTGGGGTTTTTTTGTGGGTGTTTTTTGTGTGTGTTTTTATGTATGTTTTTGTGGGTGTTTTTTGTGTGTGTTTTTGTGGGTGTTTTTGTGTGTGTGTTTTTGTGGGTGTTTTTTGTGGGTGTTTTTGTGGGTGTTTTTTGTGGGTGTTTTTTGTGGGTGTTTTTATGGGTGTTTTTGTGGGTGTTTTTGTGGGTGTTTTTGTGGGTGTTTTTTTGTGGGTGTTTTTGTGTGTGTGTTTGTTTTTCTTTTTATTGGTGAGGTCTTGCGGTTACTCAGTGAATGGATTTAGTTCTGCGGGTTTAATCGGGAAAGCAGTGGGAGATCTAGATGCGGGACAGTCATAGCTAGGAGGGTACTGGGTGGCCGAGCGGTCTAAGCTGACTCAATCCAAATAGCAGCCAGCGTCCCACGCACCCCGATTGGATGGGACTCGTTAGCCCATCTTATAAGGCAAACGCTGAATTCAAACCAGGAGCCAGAGTGATCTATAAATTGATCGTGGGTCTTCAAATATACAAGGGAAAAAAGAAAAAGATAAGACATGGTGTTGTTGCTGAAGAAAACCCATTAATGACGATACGAAGGCTGAATAAATTATTTTTTACAAATGCCCACGAGAAAAGATAGTATCAGAGTCGCAGTTTCGCTACATTGTGTATAATATATACTAATAATAAGGGCAGCTTGCTAGGTATGTAACCGATGGTAGCCGTAATATGCCCTATAAAAGTTGGGATTCTGTCCCGATGTCACACTACAGAAATAAAATACAATACTATTTTAGGATTTGAACTTGATATTTTGTTAAAGAAAATTTTAATTTAAATTTAAAAAAAAAAAAAAGAAAAGACAAAAAATAATACAATAGCTTCTCGTGTATTATAATTGTGTATTATCATTATTTCTTTTATCAACATTTTGGAAAAATTTCTTGCATTCGGATAAATGAGAGAATTTGATTTTTCTCAACATCAACTTTTTTTTTAATTTAAAAAAAAAACAACGAATAATGCAAATACTTAATTCTAAAACATAATTAAAATGTATTTGTACTTTCTTTAAATCATTTAGTCCAAATGGCCCCCGGACACGCAGCGCCGCCATTCGCACCCGGGTCCCATTAGACCAATGCTATTCGGATGTCATTTGTGGTAGTTTATTTTAGTTAAACTGAAGAAGTAAGTTTACAAACATATAGTCCATTCAATTATCTTTCATTTGATACCTCATTTTGTCTTACAAACCCAACAATAGTATTTTTAATAGTTTTTTAATCCCAATCTCTCATTTCTGGTACCCGGGTGCGAATAGTCGCAGCCTTTCTTTTATTTAAAACCTCAGTTGTAATCCAAACATACTCTGTTATAAATGGCTTAGTGTTTAAAATTGACATCATTATTAAGGACTTTTCATGGTAGGCAAAAATTAAATGTAATACCCGGCAATATTAATAATACAAAAAGGAAACAACGAGCATATGAATAACAATACATAATTTAAGAGAAATAGAAGAAAAAACTTTGTACACTTTTCCAGACTGAAAACTATTCTAAAAAAGGAATTGTAGTTGTAGGATCCAATTTTACTTCCATCTAGCAACAGTCTTAATAGGGAATATATTTTTGTCTAGGAAAATGATACGATTCAACATCTTTTGGGGGATTTTTAGAACATATTTGCAGGAAGGTTGTTATTATATTCACGTACAGAAAGCACGCGGACAAATGAAATGCACTGTTCCATTAACATGAGTTGTTTTTTTTTTTTAAATAAAAAGATCATTGTTAACTGGAAATGGAAATCCATTGCAAAATCTAAATATATCGGACCAATAGAAATAATATTACCAAGGGAAATTCGTGTCTCTGAGTTTAGCGTGAAAGTGAAACAAACCCTTACAAGGAAATGACTGGATCGGTAATTTCCGGTGTTACATCTACAGGGGGGGGGGAGCCTTGTTTTGCTTTAGGGAATGGGGAAATTTATTTTTTAGGAGGATTTTGGGGGGATATTGGACAAAATTATTATAATTTTTTTTTTACTTTGGGAGAACAAAGAAAAAAATGACGGGATTTTCTTTGTTTATTTTAACATCTAGAAAGAGCTATAAATTGGAGCTTTGCACAGTAATATTTTCAGGCTCCCAGTAACCGCCTAGCTTTAAACAGCTTTAACAGAATGGGGATAAATACACTGAGCTAAAATGATAAAGTAACCAATCTTGATTCTGGGTACTATAAAAAATAAAAACTGATTAAATCGCTATTTTCTTCACATTATGCCCTTGATATGAATAACTCATCAGACGCAACAGTGTAGAAGACCTTTATCAAAATTTGTTTTATTTTTATTTTTCATTTTAGACATGATAGATCCATTGCAAGCCATCAAGAACAAATCCAGAAAACTGCAAGCATTAAGGGAGAACTTCAACGTGTCACGAGACGTTTAAGACAGAATTCAGGAGCTCCCCTGAAGCGGGAAATTCACGTTACACAAAAAGATGAAGCCGTAGATGGAAAACACACACAAAGACGAGGTATACGGCGATCAGTTTCAAAACGAAGACTGCTTTCTCTTGAGAGCGATGGGGAAACTGTGTTAGAAAATGGCGTCAGTCAATGTAAGGAATTCTTAGAAGACCAACTCAAGATTGGCGCAGATCATGGGAGATGCGGCTCTGAACCCCCATCGACGCAGACTTCACTTCCCCCACTTAAGTCATTTGATCTCTTGCAAGATTTATTTAGCCAAAGACATTTTAAAGTCGAACCGACCGTCATACATGTCTACAACGTGACGGAAATCACCGAGGTGGAACATCCCGAGAGTGTTGAAGGTATTTCTTGGAGTCGGTTCAGAGAAGAAAAATTTCGCCTTCGTAGTTTTGTGCAGTATCCATTGACAGCGGCTAAATCTGCCATGCTCCTGGCCGAAGATGGGTTTGTTTACACGGGAAAGGGCGGGGAAAGAGATGACGCGGTCACTTGTTACTTTTGTTGTCTACAGAAACTCGGCTGGCAAACTAGGGACATCGTTTCAGACATTCACAGAGAAATGTCCCCGCATTGTCCAATGGTGACCAAAATCAACTGTGATAATGTCCCGTTTACATCTTGCGACACCGATGATCGGTACTTCGATGAATTGTTGAACCAGCTTAAATCAACGTGTGGCTGTGGAAAGGATGACCGTTCTCTTAAACCCAACTCTGCGGATGGCCTTGACACTGACGGACTTGTTGGCCAAAGGTTGTCGAACGACTCCACAGAATGCGAACACAGAGCTGAACAACGGAGCTCGGGTCTGAGCCATCATACTTCGGGATTAGGGGACCCATCAGCTAGCAATCAGTCAAATGAAGCCAGGTGCACAAAATGTGCACACACGAGAACCATTCACCCCAAAATATCAACCGTTCAACCGCTTCTCAACATTTCAGGTAGTCGGTCACAATCGCAAACAACAGAACAAAGCCACACACTCTCCACGTCAACACATTCTCGTCAAGGTCAAACTTTCAGCCAATGTACTCAGGATGCAACATCAAACCACGTACCAACCACAACCCCGGGATCAACATCCGCATCTCTACATGTACAAAGCAACCCTTCAACGACCCTGTCATCAACTCAGACACTTCAATCAATGCCTCATAATCGTGTCAGCTCTCCCGCCTACAATGCTCCATTGAATGCTTCGACGACAGACAATCTCGGTCATATTCCAACAAGCGCGTCACTGAATATTTCAAACACTGCGGTCATCCCGAAATCATCGCAGCCTTCAGCAGCGTCAGATGACAGAAAGGTTGGCCCGAACCCATCCACCACAACATCCACCACGACATCCGCCATGACATCCGCCACGACATCCGCCACGACATTCACCAACCAAAAGAACGGTGCCACGCCCACATCGTCAGCGCCACACACAACGACCAACGAGAGAAAGAAAGGCGCCTTTCTTTCTCTCGTTGGTCGTTGTGTGTGGCGCTGACGATGTGGGCGTGGCACCGTTCTTTTGGTTGGTGAATGTCGTGGCGGATGTCGTGGCGGATGTCATGGCGGATGTCGTGGTGGATGTTGTGGTGGATGGGTTCGGGCCAACCTTTCTGTCATCTGACGCTGCTGAAGGCTGCGATGATTTCGGGATGACCGCAGTGTTTGAAATATTCAGTGACGCGCTTGTTGGAATATGACCGAGATTGTCTGTCGTCGAAGCATTCAATGGAGCATTGTAGGCGGGAGAGCTGACACGATTATGAGGCATTGATTGAAGTGTCTGAGTTGATGACAGGGTCGTTGAAGGGTTGCTTTGTACATGTAGAGATGCGGATGTTGATCCCGGGGTTGTGGTTGGTACGTGGTTTGATGTTGCATCCTGAGTACATTGGCTGAAAGTTTGACCTTGACGAGAATGTGTTGACGTGGAGAGTGTGTGGCTTTGTTCTGTTGTTTGCGATTGTGACCGACTACCTGAAATGTTGAGAAGCGGTTGAACGGTTGATATTTTGGGGTGAATGGTTCTCGTGTGTGCACATTTTGTGCACCTGGCTTCATTTGACTGATTGCTAGCTGATGGGTCCCCTAATCCCGAAGTATGATGGCTCAGACCCGAGCTCCGTTGTTCAGCTCTGTGTTCGCATTCTGTGGAGTCGTTCGACAACCTTTGGCCAACAAGTCCGTCAGTGTCAAGGCCATCCGCAGAGTTGGGTTTAAGAGAACGGTCATCCTTTCCACAGCCACACGTTGATTTAAGCTGGTTCAACAATTCATCGAAGTACCGATCATCGGTGTCGCAAGATGTAAACGGGACATTATCACAGTTGATTTTGGTCACCATTGGACAATGCGGGGACATTTCTCTGTGAATGTCTGAAACGATGTCCCTAGTTTGCCAGCCGAGTTTCTGTAGACAACAAAAGTAACAAGTGACCGCGTCATCTCTTTCCCCGCCCTTTCCCGTGTAAACAAACCCATCTTCGGCCAGGAGCATGGCAGATTTAGCCGCTGTCAATGGATACTGCACAAAACTACGAAGGCGAAATTTTTCTTCTCTGAACCGACTCCAAGAAATACCTTCAACACTCTCGGGATGTTCCACCTCGGTGATTTCCGTCACGTTGTAGACATGTATGACGGTCGGTTCGACTTTAAAATGTCTTTGGCTAAATAAATCTTGCAAGAGATCAAATGACTTAAGTGGGGGAAGTGAAGTCTGCGTCGATGGGGGTTCAGAGCCGCATCTCCCATGATCTGCGCCAATCTTGAGTTGGTCTTCTAAGAATTCCTTACATTGACTGACGCCATTTTCTAACACAGTTTCCCCATCGCTCTCAAGAGAAAGCAGTCTTCGTTTTGAAACTGATCGCCGTATACCTCGTCTTTGTGTGTGTTTTCCATCTACGGCTTCATCTTTTTGTGTAACGTGAATTTCCCGCTTCAGGGGAGCTCCTGAATTCTGTCTTAAACGTCTCGTGACACGTTGAAGTTCTCCCTTAATGCTTGCAGTTTTCTGGATTTGTTCTTGATGGCTTGCAATGGATCTATCATGTCTAAAATGAAAAATAAAAATAAAACAAATTTTGATAAAGGTCTTCTACACTGTTGCGTCTGATGAGTTATTCATATCAAGGGCATAATGTGAAGAAAATAGCGATTTAATCAGTTTTTATTTTTTATAGTACCCAGAATCAAGATTGGTTACTTTATCATTTTAGCTCAGTGTATTTATCCCCATTCTGTTAAAGCTGTTTAAAGCTAGGCGGTTACTGGGAGCCTGAAAATATTACTGTGCAAAGCTCCAATTTATAGCTCTTTCTAGATGTTAAAATAAACAAAGAAAATCCCGTCATTTTTTTCTTTGTTCTCCCAAAGTAAAAAAAAAATTATAATAATTTTGTCCAATATCCCCCCAAAATCCTCCTAAAAAATAAATTTCCCCATTCCCTAAAGCAAAACAAGGCTCCCCCCCCCCTGTAGATGTAACACCGGAAATTACCGATCCAGTCATTTCCTTGTAAGGGTTTGTTTCACTTTCACGCTAAACTCAGAGACACGAATTTCCCTTGGTAATATTATTTCTATTGGTCCGATATATTTAGATTTTGCAATGGATTTCCATTTCCAGTTAACAATGATCTTTTTATTTAAAAAAAAAAAACAACTCATGTTAATGGAACAGTGCATTTCATTTGTCCGCGTGCTTTCTGTACGTGAATATAATAACAACCTTCCTGCAAATATGTTCTAAAAATCCCCCAAAAGATGTTGAATCGTATCATTTTCCTAGACAAAAATATATTCCCTATTAAGACTGTTGCTAGATGGAAGTAAAATTGGATCCTACAACTACAATTCCTTTTTTAGAATAGTTTTCAGTCTGGAAAAGTGTACAAAGTTTTTTCTTCTATTTCTCTTAAATTATGTATTGTTATTCATATGCTCGTTGTTTCCTTTTTGTATTATTAATATTGCCGGGTATTACATTTAATTTTTGCCTACCATGAAAAGTCCTTAATAATGATGTCAATTTTAAACACTAAGCCATTTATAACAGAGTATGTTTGGATTACAACTGAGGTTTTAAATAAAAGAAAGGCTGCGACTATTCGCACCCGGGTACCAGAAATGAGAGATTGGGATTAAAAAACTATTAAAAATACTATTGTTGGGTTTGTAAGACAAAATGAGGTATCAAATGAAAGATAATTGAATGGACTATATGTTTGTAAACTTACTTCTTCAGTTTAACTAAAATAAACTACCACAAATGACATCCGAATAGCATTGGTCTAATGGGACCCGGGTGCGAATGGCGGCGCTGCGTGTCCGGGGGCCATTTGGACTAAATGATTTAAAGAAAGTACAAATACATTTTAATTATGTTTTAGAATTAAGTATTTGCATTATTCGTTGTTTTTTTTTTAAATTAAAAAAAAAGTTGATGTTGAGAAAAATCAAATTCTCTCATTTATCCGAATGCAAGAAATTTTTCCAAAATGTTGATAAAAGAAATAATGATAATACACAATTATAATACACGAGAAGCTATTGTATTATTTTTTGTCTTTTCTTTTTTTTTTTTTTAAATTTAAATTAAAATTTTCTTTAACAAAATATCAAGTTCAAATCCTAAAATAGTATTGTATTTTATTTCTGTAGTGTGACATCGGGACAGAATCCCAACTTTTATAGGGCATATTACGGCTACCATCGGTTACATACCTAGCAAGCTGCCCTTATTATTAGTATATATTATACACAATGTAGCGAAACTGCGACTCTGATACTATCTTTTCTCGTGGGCATTTGTAAAAAATAATTTATTCAGCCTTCGTATCGTCATTAATGGGTTTTCTTCAGCAACAACACCATGTCTTATCTTTTTCTTTTTTCCCTTGTATATTTGAAGACCCACGATCAATTTATAGATCACTCTGGCTCCTGGTTTGAATTCAGCGTTTGCCTTATAAGATGGGCTAACGAGTCCCATCCAATCGGGGTGCGTGGGACGCTGGCTGCTATTTGGATTGAGTCAGCTTAGACCGCTCGGCCACCCAGTACCCTCCTAGCTATGACTGTCCCGCATCTAGATCTCCCACTGCTTTCCCGATTAAACCCGCAGAACTAAATCCATTCACTGAGTAACCGCAAGACCTCACCAATAAAAAGAAAAACAAACACACACACAAAAACACCCACAAAAAAACACCCACAAAAACACCCACAAAAACACCCACAAAAACACCCATAAAAACACCCACAAAAAACACCCACAAAAAACACCCACAAAAACACCCACAAAAAACACCCACAAAAACACACACACAAAAACACCCACAAAAACACACACAAAAAACACCCACAAAAACATACATAAAAACACACACAAAAAACACCCACAAAAAAACCCCACAAAAACACCCACAAAAAACACCCACAAAAAAACCCACAAAAACACCCACAAAAACACCCACAAAAACACCCACAAAAACACCCACAAAAAACACCCACAAAAACACCCACGAAAAACACCCACAAAAAACACCCACAAAAACACCCACAAAAACACCCACAAAAACACCCACAAAAACACACACAAAAACACACACAAAAACACCCACAAAAACACACACAAAAACACACATAAAAACAACAACAAAAAACACCCACAAAACCACCCACAAAAACACACACAAAAACACCCACAAAAACACCCACAAAAACACCCACAAAAACACACACAAAAACACACACAAAAACACACACAAAAACACACACAAAAACACACACAAAAACACACGAAAAAACACCCACAAAAAACACCCACAAAAACACACACAAAAACACACACAAAAACACACACAAAAAACACCCACAAAAACACAAACAAAA